ATCCAGTCTTCCTTCTCCATGAGCAGAGGGCAGGTGGAAAAACAGCAGTCTTCAAGGTCAGGGTTATAAACAATATTTCTTTTATTTATTTATTTGTTTGTTTGTTTGTTTATAGGCGAGGCACCCTTGGTTGACCTCACAGATTGCAAGGACCTTGTCAGCTTACGATCCCTTATTTTTTATTTATTTTCTATGCCTACAGCACCTGGTACTAACCAGGTACGACCCTGCTTAGCTTCCGAGATCAAATGGGATCTGGCTTGTTCAGGGTGGCATGGCCATAGACAATATTTCTTAATGACCTTCTGTGTACTCAGTCCTCATTTAAGGGCTGAAAATGCAAGAAAAAGTGCAAGACATGGTTGTTACCCCTACGGAGCATGCAGTGGTAGGAGGGCAATATTAATGCGTCCAAAACATTGTAGCCCCTTTGCAGCCACCACCAACTCCAGCAATATGTCCTCAATATATCTGGATGCTACAATGAGAAGTTACATTTGTTGGGGGGTTTTGGAAGAATGTCTTTAGTTACATGGTTTTTTCACCAATAGGTGGTTAAAGTTGGGCAGAAATAGAAAGTTTGGTGCTGAGAGTCCTATTTGAAGCTTTACCACAAATTCAGATCATTTAAATTCCAGTGTTCTGTTGAACTCATCTGAAAACAGTGTCTTTATTTACTTTGGGTTTTTTTCCTTATACCAGAGAGTCAGGGCATGAGCAAACAAGGGCATAGCCTAGCTTTAAACCTGTTAACTATTCAGTACTGGAAAATGCCTTTGGCACTGCCAAGAGTAAAGGGTTTTGGTTCACTTAGGTTTCTCCCAGAAAAAAAAAAAAGTGACTGTGAAAGGAAGTTACCACTTAATGATGCTACTTTATTCACTGCTGTGTCTACAGTGGCTCGCACCTCGCCTAGCACAGATTAAGTGCTTAAAAATATTTGTTGATGACCCATTGATCACTTTTTTAGGGGGAGAGAGATGATAGAGAATGAGTGGGAACCCAAAAAATTACAAAATATTAGAACTAGAAGTGAATGATGGATCACCTAGTAAGCACTCTCAGAATGCCGGCCCTGGTTGCTATAGTTGTCACTGTCCCACACCACTGGATTTCAAAAATTAGCATCTGGTTAGGAAGGGAAATGCCTCTGACTAATCCTGTCAGCTGCCCGGCACTTGTCTTTGGATATTAAAAACATAGTCTTAGGGCTTCGATATAGGGGAATTACCAGTCTCCTCTGTGTATGGCCTTGGCGTTTTTTAATAGCCATCGATTTATGCAGACAATGATAAGGACTTAATTCAGGCTTAGTAGGCCTCGGTCAGTACAAAGGCAAGTCTCTCGTCCAAAAATATTGAAGGTAAAACTTGAATCAAAAAGGTCGTATAATTGAAGCTACTAGCTAAAAATATCCCCCTCAAATGCAATTCTTTCTTTCTCTTTACTCTGAAGACAGAGAGAGCAGACTGTGAGTGGCCTTCACAGACAGGAGTTTGCAGGAAAGCTGGTTGTAGCAGCAAGAGTTTAAATTCTGGGATCAGCACTTTGAATTTGTATTAATATTATGCTTGGGCTCCAAGAAGATTCATTCAGCCAGGCTGACTTATGGCACTAAATGGCTATTTAAATGTACATACTCATCACATAAATATGTTTTATGGAACGATAGAAAATGGTTTATGAAATCACTTTTAAAACCATCTTTTCAACAGTAATTACACCAGTCCTGTAATACCTTGAACGAAGCAATATCGGCAAGAATTAGTTTAAGCATCTTTAATATTCTGACGATTATCATACAAAATTGCCCTGCAATAAAATGACAGGGTTGTCTATAATTTCTCTTATTCCACTGCATTTCTCCTATTTCCCTTTTACATTAAAATGTATATCATAACATTTCATCATGGGCGAAGGCTGCCTAAGTTTCCAGTTGCTCTAATTTAGTTAAACCATAAAATTGTTTCTGGATTACCAACCATGAAATGGAAAGACGATCTTATTTATGAATTTATAAATCAGATAATCTCCGTCAAATGAATCCGGAAACCAGAAACACTTTGGTGATTAAATAGGAGGGTAAACGTTTTCTCATTACCATGTGTAGAGGAATCGTATATTCGTAAGGGGGTTTTGGCCGAGATGGTGGAGCGCACGTGCGCAATCGGCTGGCTCCATGCTCGGCCACGCGCAGGCCCTGCTGTTTCCTGAACGATGAAGGAAAACTGTTCCCCTCCACCGTCAAGCTATAGTGTTGTGAATTCTCAAGGCTCCGAGAGATCCTGTCTCCTTCCTGGTGACTCTCCCCCAGGCACCTCTGCCACTATGCCAACGTCATTCCTGAGGAATAAGGAGAGTGGGGTGCTATTTGGCGCTTGTCTTTCTCTACATCCTAAAAACCTTGGGAGAAGCACAGCAAGAAGCTAGGCACCCACTGAGCCAAGGAAAATGCCACCCGACGGACACCAGTGTGGAGACAACCTGACCTGGACTGTAGCTGTGCACTTCTAACTGTGGTGATGAATCAACTGTAGATCAGTGGTCTGAACCTGGCATGATCCAGATGCTTCGTTTGGGTTTTCAGTGCTTCTGTTCTCCTTCGTTAGACCAGGTATGGAAGGCTGGTAACCAGAGAGGGATCCAGAAGAAACACTGATTTAGCTCTACCCTGGATTGTGCTTAGAGCCAGTGTTGGAATGAAGCCCTTCTCCCTTCCCTCCTACCAGAGTCTCACTTCCTCTGACAGTCATAGACTTACCTATTTCTTACATTTCTGAGTGGTGCTGTCACCTGCATGGAGTTAGGTTGTCACCTTGCCATCGAACCCATTGAAGTCGCTTCTTGACCAAAGTTGTCTAGACCTTAAAAGTATCATGCTGCTGTAAAAAAAAAAGGAAAATAAATCCTTTTCATTTGCCTAGGATGGAATAAGAGCAGTAAACTAGTACATCTCAAGGTAGCTCCGAATGCGTCTTGACTCTAGGGTCATGAGTTTGACTTCCAGCATCACCATGGGAAGAATGGAGGCACTGGACAGCTTTTACCGGACACTAAGCAGGTCCCCATGGAAGTCATTCATTTCCCAAGAGCCCATTTATGCAAGTCTGTGTCTCCCGCAGGGCAGTCAGCGTGATCAGCCACCACCCCATCATTTCTGAGATGCCATTGCAACTTGAGTCTGATAAACTTGGGATCCATTGGATATTTACTAACCCGCTTTGTTGAGCTGAGTGTCTTACTAATTTTTCTCTTTGGCACATGTGCTGTTTTACGGCAGAGAAGAGAGCAGGAACACAGGTGTGACTGAAAATGTTTTGCATCTCGGAGGTTTACAATTCACTGCCATGCCTGGAAACACTTAGAAAGTCATCGCATGAAGATGGAGATACATTTCTACTCCCATTGCTTGAGATTCTTCCTTCCCACACTGTTAGAGCAAAGAGATCATACTGATAATACTTAAATTGTTTCTTTTTTCCTTAATGGTTTTATAACCATTAACCATCCAGACTACATGACTTACGTCCAAGAAACTCTCAGTGTTGTGACAGAACCATCTATTTTAAACTAAAGAAAATCCATGGAATTCTGAAGTCAGAAGCTTGTAAATCTTAACTTAAGCTCAATGTTTCATATGAAACAGGGTTATATTCCAAAGGCAAAACTCAAGGCCAAAAAGTTGTGTATGGACAAAATTATCCTTGAAAGCCTTCTTGATTGCCATGAAGTTCCAGATACAGATATAACATCTCTCAATAAGTCCAACTTAACCAGGAAAAGAACAAACCACCATGGCTTTTTCCCATTGGGTACCAGATGAAGTAGTTAGCTTGTATGTAGAAGCTACAACGTATGAATATGCTGCTTGTAGCACAGAAATCACCATCGCTCACACGGTGGGGGTTTGGTGGGACTGACACCCGCAGTGAAGAGTAGAGTCACTTCTCTGCCTCAAGCACACACTAGGACCCCTGCTCATGGGGTACAATGGCAGGCGAGGTGCCCACACTATTCAGACTGTCTTCCCCTCTCTACCTTTATTGTTTTAAACTACTAAGTGTAGCTCAATCCACAGGCTGTGACGTGTGTGATGCCCTCTGCCCCTAGTCAGCAGAGGGCGGTCACTTTGTCATGATGTTGTTTGTAAATGTATTAAAAATAACGATAACAGTTCTATGAAACTGCCATTTTCTCAGGTGTAGAAATGTGAGCCTACTTCAAAAGCCAGATGAACTGTGATGAAGCGTTAGAGACCCCTGAACAGGGAGATGCAGTATCTGTGCACAGAAAATGATTGGGAGGATTTTTCATTCATGTCTCGACATGAACAAGTTGTTAGGGATATTTGTTTCTTGTTGGATCCTATAAAAGCCCAGGTTAAAGTCCGTATGAGGTTAGATTGAATACCATTCGCCCCCAAGTCAGACATTGATTTCAATCATATTTTCCATGATTTAAAGATATATTCGTTTGTGTTGCTCTCAGGCCATAAAACAAGTTTTAATCCACACATAACAAACATCTCCAGCATTTACACCAAAACCAGTTAGCAGCTCTCCAGTTGAGGCATAGTATGGCTTAGAAGTCTGTGCCACTGGGCCACAGCTGGCCGAGGACACTGCTGGTGCCAAAGCTAAAATTGCAAAAGCAGGGCAAAAAGGTTCAAAAACACTACGTGCAAACAGAATGATTTCTGAGGGAGACACCATTCAGTTTTCCAGGAGGCTTCTGCTGGCCTGTGCAGCATCTTTTCAGTGAGATCCTTGGATTAATACTAAACTCTGATCA